GGGGGATGGGATATATGTGACGAGATAGGTCATGGAAATACCACTACATGTATTATTTATTTGTATCAATAATTCACCATTCAGTTACCTTTAGAAGTGAATACTCTGCTATCAAACCCAATGGTCCTGTCAATTGTTCATCCCATACCAAGGCCTGACAGAAAAAAATAATACAACAGATGTTTTAAAGAAGAATACAAGTGTACTATGTACCATTCAGCAAAGCACTTTTCCCTGAAATTGAGATTATCTCGCAATCAGAAAATATCTTTTCATCAATATCCATACATTGCTTTATTCTTGACAAATCTTCAAATAAATTATAGTTAATTGTTTTGGCAAACTGGTAACCAATTAAGTTACCTCTGAAGGAACAATGATTTAGAAGTTTGGATGTTCTTATTGCTGTCAAATAATGTCCTGTATTGAACTATTGGCTCCTGCGCAAGACCTACTTTCATCTCAGAAGTTCTGGAATAAGTTACGCATAACCCCACCTCTAACACCACCCCTAACCCTACCCTCAATTTAATTGTACATGCATATGCCCGTTCTAAGGACAGTGGGGGCATTTACAATTGAATTGAGTGAGGGTTAGAGTTAGGATTAAGGGTGGGGTGCAAAAGGAATACTTTCGGAGATCTATTTGGTCACCGTATAGGGATGGTGATTTAGGGGAAAGTTCAGAAAGTACTGTGATTTCACACACACGCTTTTGATAAACAATTATTTTTGCCCCAAATCACGTCGGCTAGACATTGAGGTGAGTGGCAGTAGTGAATTAAATTTTTAAAACGTCAGCTAGCAAAACATTTGCAACATACAGGTCGTCCTTTTTGTGTGATATTATTCAAAATATCGCTATACATACACTAGTATATCACCCCCCCCCCCCCATTCATTAGGGGGAGGGGCTTGAAGTTGAGCATGGAAGTGAGATGTATTACATTGGCAATTACAATATTTAAGTTTTCTACTAATGCATTATATTACATGCTAACATACCTTAGCACCGACACATTTATCCAGACAATCAAGTAATTCTCTTCTTGCAGCTTCCCTCAAAACGGCGATATTTACTCGGCCACTGCTAAGGTGAGTCGCCATTTTACATCGGTGACCTTAGACCCTCTAACTTGCTGATTAAAATACGACAAATGTGTCGTCGTTTTTCTGGCTGAATTTTCACTTAAAACAGTATTAAATGCCACATCAGCATTAGGTTTTGAAATCAAATGCAGTACTCAACTAAATAAAACAAAAGTATTAATGCGTCTTCATCTTAACATGATATTTATGTAGTCGTCTTTTGAGAACATAAATTTTATAGTTTGCTAGGCGGTCACAATGAATTCGTAGTTTGTTTTTCTTCTTCTACTGCGCTGTGTTGTAACTGGGAGACAGGTACATTGGATGTGATTCTGGTAAGTTACCCTAAATATCACCAGGCGTAGAAGTTTTGACTTCAGCCTACACTTTGGAATATTATTTGACAACAGATTTACTGCACAATACAAGAAAACGACCATTTCATTTCGTCAAGGAAGGGAAAACATTCAGTCCAAGTCAGTCAGTCCAAGCATCGAAATGATATTTAAATAACTTTTACAGCGCGATACAAAATTGACATTAAACAAATTGTATTAATTCATTCGCTAAATAAAACCTCGGCGATATTATTGACCTTGGCTTCACCTCGGTCAATAATTGCCTCTTCGGGTCTTTAAAACTGAATATTGTCCGGCCATATTATACCAAATAAATTAACACAATATAAATCGAATGTTGCAGTCATTTTTGTGAATAACTATGCGTACACAAAAAAGAAATCGAGGTCACGGAAATCTCATTATTGACTTGACCAATCTTATAATACCATATTACTAATGTGGTTTTTACTCAGTACGGTTATAAAATAAACCCTACTGTTTTAGAATGAACCCTATAAACCTCACAGTTTCTGAATATTTTATTTGTGAGTTGTAATATCATAGTATCAAAGGAACTACGGTAATTCAGTACACTTATCTTATTTTTATTAATATATTACTGCTTTATTGTATTTAATAATTTAGTCTTCATAACAGTATTATTATCCAGGCTTCTGCCAATCCAATAAACCATTTCCCTTTACTGCGAGATCCCGCGTTATGGGTGAAATCAAACACAATCAAACGTTCCGCGCACATCTTTCACGCAACTCATGAGATTTCGCAGTTGAACAGAAAATCATCTATTGTCAATCGACAAAGTTGAGTTATTTCACATTTAACTTCAACATATGAAATGACTATAAAAGACATAACATTATAAGACATGAATTATTTCAAAAGCAAGGCTGTCATTGGAAAACACGTGAAAGTAAATTAAACATCAGGAAAACATATTGCTTACAGTTTATATTAAAGTTATCTTATTTTAATTTGTCACCAAAATAAAAAAAAATTTGCCAAGTGGATAGACAAAAAAAATGTAACATTAATATATAGTCACTATATTGACTGTAATAATTTTAGTCATAACAAAAGGCCAGTTATTATTGGTATAAGAGGCCCATGACTGAATGGCAAGAACCAGTCACTTAGTATAAGATAGTGAAGGAATAGTGTTGTTCACTGCTGTTGTTAAATATTATGTGTCCAGATTAATAACATTTATTTTAGTTTCATGCATGTTAATTAGCTTCATTTACATTTTATATACTAGTTCTCAGTTAGGTTCTCCATCATCTGACATTTTTCTTTTATCTTGCTCTGATAGAATGTAAAAGTGGAAAATGGATTGCGAAGAGAAAGAACATGGCAGCATTAATGCCCAAATTGAGAAGTACATGACTGTTGTCACGTTCTTCAAGTGTGAACTTTGCAATTTTCAAAATCAAATTAAAGAAAAAACTCGAAGTCATATGAAACTTCACATCATGCATAAATGTACTAGTTGCTCAATGTCATACTTTCTGCAGAGTGATCTGTCTAATCATGTTACTCAGTGTCATTCCAGTGAGACCATTGACGTTTCTCATTCTGATGAAGATAACATTAATTTCTCAAGTGATAATGAACAGAGCATAGAAAATGTCATAGATCAGGTGAACAATAAAGAGGATCCTGAGACTGACATTCCTCTTCAGGATATTGACAGAGAGATACTCACTTCTGTTTCGGAAACTTCAGGCGATGATTTCAATAGAATTCGCAAACAACCATCTTGTATGTGGAAAAAGAAGCCAAAGCATAACAAGTTTTCTCGTCAACGAATAGAGAAGATTGTTACCGGAACACATTGTCCACGGGCAAGCCAGGAAGAAAAGAGTGAAGTTGGTGAAACTGTTAACAGTGGACTGGGAAGTCAAACTGAGGACATTAGATGTAATGAAACATATCAGCCACAGACTGTAGTAACTGTATCCAGTGGACAGCCTGTTGATCAGCCCGGAACCATGACTGTATCTGCTTCTAATCAAAAACAACAAACATCTTCATCTGCGCTTGGTGAAAACAATGTGACTCTTCTAATGCCTTTACCAACGCTTCAAAGTCCAGTTGCTAGTCAGACACCATCAGCATCCACTAAAACTATAGCCATGACATTCCCAGCAGGGTCTGTTATCATTCAACCACCTAATGTCAGTTATGCTACTGTAGTAACCGGGTGCAGTCCAATAACATCACCTCACACTGTCAAACAACAACTTGCAAAAAATAGAACCAAAGACATTTCATGTAATGCAAATAGGAATGAGGACGTTGCTGCATCTAAAATGCAGGGTAAGGTGGCAATTCAACGTCAATCTGTCAATCAGCCGATTCATCAAACATCACGAGATATCGTTGATTTGATGTCTCTTCATAATACAAGTCAACCTGCAGATACGACTCACATGACTCCAGAAGAAGCCATTAATTATAATATCATTAAAGAAGCCAAAGCGAGAGCAGTGAAAATGACGCAGGAACTGCGAATGCTTACAGCTGTGCAGTGTCATTTTTGCGATCGAAAGTTCCTTAATGGACGAGCGAAAGCTAGACACGTGAGTAAGTTCCACTGCGACATGATCAGTAAGGAAAAATCCACAGGGGGACCATATTATTGCAGCGTGTCGTCATGCAAGTATAAAACAGTGTACAAGCACAACTTGGAGACTCACACCAAGAGGCATGCCTCGCCACATATGTGTAATCAATGCAACAAGAAATTTATAACAAAGCGTCAGCTCGAGACTCACCAAAAATCAGACATCCATCTGCTGAAAAAAGACTACCTACTTTGTCATACATGCGGTTATTCCACGTCAAGGAAAGACACGTTTAAAGAACACCTGTCGTCCCATATGGAGGAGAAGCCATTGAAGTGTGATCAGTGCGCTTATCGCACATCCAGTAAGAAATTACTTACTCGCCATGCTGTTCGTGTACATAAATTGTCAGATCAGTTGCAGAAGTGTACAAGCTGCAACTACTCTTGTCACACTGAACAAGAGTTGAAGATACACTTTGCTAAGCACACCGGTGAAACAATGTTCAACTGTCCGCAGTGTAAATTTGGATCTAACTACAAACATAATTTCATTAAGCATTTGAAGCGACATAGCCTTGAGATGGTTAGTATGGAGGATGGATACGTGGTGATTCCAAAACACAAAAACAGCAGTGATAGCAAAATTAGCACTGATACAGTTGATAAGTTATTGATTCCACATAGTGAAGAAGAATGTTCTGTACTGTCTTAAGAGTTCCCAGATATTCAAATTAACCATGTCTTTTTGATTCAGTTATGATCAGGTGACTTAAAGCGATACAGTTGTTGTGCAGAGCTTGTTCGAACGTGTAAACTAACTACTGTGAAATACTTTATTTTAGCTGGAATTAATTTTCGCTGAAAAAGTTTTTTGGATGTTTTGTATGGAATTTATTTTTTTTACTGATTTTTGACGAGGTAAATGTAAAATATAGAAAAAAAAGTATATTCACTGGATTTTATTTTCACTGAATCATTACTTCAACGAAAATAGTGAAAATTAATTACAAGAGAAAATAAAGTATTTTACAGTATGTATTTTACACACATTGTATTTGTCGTTACGGGTCCCATATCAAAGAGAACAACTCCAGCATTTTAAACACACTTTGTTTTCTACAATGCAAATGGAATCTTAATTGTTTCACTGGAAAAGGCTGCAATAAAGAGTACTGCAATAAATTACTTTACAATACTGTAAAAGCTTTAGTTTTTAATGGTTTTTAAATTCATTATTTCGATATCTCATCGAATTAGCTGGGTTTCAAAATCACAGAATTAAAGATTTCTACACTTACTTACAGTAATCAGTGAAAATCAAATCAGTGAAAATCAAATCAGTGAAAATACATTTTTCTTATCGTTTGAATGACATTTGATATAAAATCAATGGAAGTAGATAATGTTTCAACTCAAATTGTGTTTTTTCCTTCAAAATAAATTTTAGGTCTAAAATAAAGTGGTCCACGGTAACAATGAGTTATATTATGACTATTTGACGTTGCCAGGACTCTTTCTTGGTCAGAAATCAGCCTTTTTTAGCTAAATTATAAGTTTTTTTAAAATGCAAAGATATCATACGATGTTAATATAACATGATTGATATATTATTAGTTGCATTTGATCTATTATGTCGGAGTTAGATGGGCATATAAACTTTATACAATACAGTTTTGGTAAACTACATGCTGTGTTATTTTCAGATACCTACCCATACTGTGGAATTTTATTTAGTAAAATAAATATATTAAACCAAGGTTATAACTAATTGCAATGGCATTCTGATAATGTCATGTGATAATTCATATGAATAGCTGTACAATACATATTACAGTGAGTGCTGAAATAACTAATCATGAAAACCACTACCTTGCTATCAAGAACATTCTTGGCATGTTTGTTTTGACTTCGGAAATTTGCACCTGGACACAACCATTACAACAATAAGGGCTGGATGGTCAAAATCATCAGAATACACATTTATTTTTTCATTTTACTTATTGTATTATGTTGAGAATGAAAATTCAAGTTATGGTTATAAAATTATTATTGTGAGACGTATATCAAATGTTTAAGAGATCTGTTCTATGCTGAATTGCATTACAGATGGTGCTATTTTGGTGGCGATATTTTTCTGTGAACCACATTTTCAACCATATTTCAAGCAAAATATTACATGAAAATATTACTAAAATGGTGAATATTTGCATTAGAGCATTCTACACTTAAACACGATGAATAACTGTGATCACAAGCTACAATTTAATTTCAAATCAAACACCCCAATAAAACATAGTGGTACTTTCAATATGCAAGTTTCCTAAAGTTGAATGCAAAGTCGTAACAAACTCCACTGAGATATTGCAATGTTCTGTGGAAAGTTGATAGGGGGACAGTTTTCATGATCAGTTTATTTCCATGCCTGATATAAGGCAAAATTGTGTTGGTTTCATTATTCATTATTATGTATTATTATTCAGCAAGAAGGCTTAATATTTGGACATGGTATTTACCGGTATTATGAAAGGAATTTCAAATTTTATCAAAATGTATTTTTTCCTGAATGTTGTATATTGTATGTAATTACCAATTAAATTATGTCTAATTTGTGTACCAGTCATGGTGTTTTATGTCTTCGAAAGATACTAGTAAGTAATGTTTGCATTTTGGTCTCTAGGGGGCGTACTTCATGCAACTCATTACTACGTGACATTAATCATCAAGCCCAGTCGCCTCAAACTAGGATAGAGACGATTTTCTAAAAACTGATAAACGGCAAGTAAAACCCAAAAAATCAATATATTCAAACAAAATACAAATAAATATTATATAAAGGATCATAAAAAGAAATTGGGGCATCATACCTACATCGGATTTTAATCAGATTTGTGCAATTTAGAAATAAAAAAGAATTTTGATTTAATAACCGAAGTCATCCGATTTATCGATAAATTATAGTATAGATAAAGTAGATGAAAAATAAAGAAACAAATGAACAAAAAGTCGAGCACAAAAAAAATAGAAAATTAGTATGTAGACTACATATTCACGGTTTTCATGGAAGAAAAGGACTCTAACTCTAAAAACTCTAACCCTCTTACAGCCCTCTGATTTAATTATATGTCCCTCTTGAGGAAACGTATACATAGTTATTTAGATGTGCATATGCAATTGAATTGGGCCGTTGGAAAGTTAGGTTAGAGTTCAGAAGGAAGTCTTTCCCTTTCGTACCATTCGAATGGCTACCCTCAATCGACGGTTTTCCGAAATGAGGAAGTATTTCACTATTATTTATAATGACCTTGACGATTTCCGCAATTATCTCATTCATTCTACATATTACAAACCATACCGTCAACCTTTTCCTGTTCGGTGTTAAAAAGAACGCTCTGTGAACAATAATGGCAGCGGGAAAGTTTGATAATAGGATTGACGAAGGCCTACTGAAATGCCATGTTTGTTTGGAACGTTATAAGAACCCAAAGATGTTACCATGTCACCATTCGTTCTGTGAGCTGTGTTTAGTGAAGTTAAAGGGACTGTGTGGTGTGATTAAATGTCCCAACTGCGGGAAACATCATTCTGTGAGTGACATTCAACAATTCCCGCCGAGTATGATTATACAGTCTGCCTTAGACGTGATAGAAGAACAAGAAATGCAGCGAGATGTTGGACCATGCCATGGTTGTCAAGAAAATCTATCAATAAACAGGTGTGTAGATTGTGCTATGAATTGCTGTACATTGTGCGCTGAAGCTCACATTAAATCCTCAGTTAGTCGAAATCATCGAATTGTGACTCTTAAGATATTTAACGAGGACAAATTACGAGACAAATCAAAAGCTAACAGAGAAAGATTGATCGACATTTTCCCCAATAAATGTCATTTGTGCGTAGGATTGGGTCAACGTGACGCAGATCGTGGTGCATACGACATGCAGGAGGTCTCGGATACATTTTGTGAGATGGCAACTTATCACATCGAACGTTTGGAAGCAAAACGAAACGAAGCAAAACAAAGCAAAGAAAGCGCCACAAAACAATCCGAAGAAATAGCTAAACAATACTTGGAACGAAAACAGCAGATAAAGAAACATTCACAAGAAACAATTGCGAAATTGAGCAAAATAATAAAACAAGAAGAAACTAGTCACTTGAGAAAATTAGAAAACGATTATAATAAAATGAATAACGAGATCAAGAGGAAAATGCACCAGATTCAAACAACTGAGGAACTACTGACAAGTACAATCATATTATTAAATAATTTATTACAATATAGCAGTGCTACACAGCCGGTGAAAACTGGTAAAGAAACAACAAATCAACTGGAAACTATGACGTCACTTGAAACAACGTGGAATAACTATAACGCACTTCCGACGTTTTATGCTGGTGACGTCACATTGCAAGGAATGCTGGGAGCATTTCACAATATAGAGGTAGATTCACTCCGCCAAACACGAGGGCCATCAAATCGATTAGCCGCACCAATGGTATTAGAGAGAACTATAGGGGAACGAGGCACGAAACCAGGAAAGTTTGATCTACCACTTGGAATGAGCATCGATCAAAGTAATGACATTGTAGTGGCTGATAATATGAATGAGAGAGTTCAGATTATAGATATATATGGAAGACCAAAGTCACAGATAAATTTCACTGGATATAGCAAACCCGTCCGACCCATAGATGTAGCAATATCGGCAGACAATAAATACTTCATTACAGATGGGACTTGGGGATTCAGTGTAGGTAACAACCAGGTGATTGTATGCAATCAATATGGAAAGGTTATAAAGTGCTTTGGCAGGAAAGAATTACATAATCCATATGGAATAGCTATCAACCATAACAATGGTATTGTATATGTGGTTGATAGCAGTGCGCACTGTATACGATTATATAAAATGTCAGATTACGAATATATTAGGTCAGTTGGTGAAGAAGGTGAAGGGTCGTGTCAGTTTGAAGACCCACAGTTCATTGCTATTAATAGTAAGGGATGTATAATTGTCTCAGATGCAGGGAACAGTCGTATCCAGGTTCTCACATCTGATGGTGTATTTATGTTTGCATTCGGGGGATATCCAAATGAAATGATTGATTGGCCCTGGGGTATAACGACAGATGAGAGCGATAATATTTATATATGTGAGTACAATTATAATAGATTGCAGAAATTCAATAGTGAAGGGAAATTCGTAACCAACATTGCTAGTGGTGGTCATGTCTTGGATCGCCCCAGGGCTGTAGCAATTACAATGGATGGAAAGGTAATCGTGACTGATGATTCGCATAGTGTTAAAGTGTTTTCATAAACATTCATAACAGCATATAATTTGTATATAATATATATTTATTGCTGTTGTGTGTAACACTGGTCTATGTCAATGTCCACCATGAAGATGGTAGAATGAGTGGTGAGTCATATTTATGAATTTTGCAAATCAGCAAAATGTTTCTCACTGATTTAGATAAGGAACTATGATGTATGAGTGAACCAAATTGACTTATTAGATTATATAATAGTGGTTGTACGCTCTGTTCAATATTAGAAGATTGTTTCGAAGCTTATTCTCACTATAATTCTGCATAATGATAAGAATAAATCGATGAGTCATTTAAACATATTAATTTTTGAATATTAATTTTTAAACGAATTAATTTTTGTCACACAAAATACCGAAATGCACCATTTGATCATTACGAATTTGATTTTTATGAATGCCCGGGTAGAGTTCATTTATAGATTTAATCGGTATTGACAGGTTACTGATGCACGTCATTTTGTTTAGTCATTCGATTAAAATGGCTGACGGTATTCTGTGCGTTTTTCATAGCACTTACACAAATTTTGTTTAAATTTGATATGAAGGGTTGCATGTTCTCTTTAAGTATTTTAGGATTTTGATGTAATTCAACCGACCGCTGGTCACCTCCATCCAAATCACAACACATATCATCATCCGTTTCTCAGGCATGCCTTGGTCTTTTTTTGTAATTAGATTCCAAATGACCAATTGACGACTATATTGGTTTTATTTTCATGAAGCCTTAACTATATCACAGACATAACTTTAAAGTCGTCTCAAAGACAAGACATAATTTTGTGTTTCAGTGTTAATTTGGCTAAATACAGACGGGGCTATGTCATTGGTAATAATTTTTTACTATTATTATAATTAATATCCCTTTTTCACATTTATTACTGATAATATTATGCCGAATCCTGGTTGGTTTTGATATCAAAACAATTGTTATTCTTTTGACCACATTTTATTGTTTATTAGGTCATTTATAAACTTGTTTCATGAATTTTAAGAATTTATTGACAGTGTATGTAAACGGAATTAAGTATATAACCCAATGAGTTTACAATTGCAAACTCAATCGGTATAACCAGTGTATTTATTGATATGTAATTTAGACAAAGATGGTGCAACAACATATGTTTAGTTTAATTTCATGTTTTCGTGCAACATATATTATATGCATATACACATATCTCGTATATTATATGCCTGTATTAAATAGCATGCTATGTTTCTCTGGAAATATTTATTATTTTTTTTCATCATTAAGTTATAAAATTTAATTTGATCTGGGTAAGTATAATAATAAGCCGGTAAGTATGTTTTCCTTATGTCAGAATAAAGTGGACAGCATAACAGGAAATGAAACTCGTCTTCAACGATATCACGACAAAAATTACAGTAGTGTTCATTTCTAGAAACGTTTTGTCTCCTGACTGTCCCCGGGGGTCCGAATTAAACAATGATCTGGTACGCATGTCTGTGAAAGAAAACGCGTTAAAAGGGTGTTTTTTTTAAAGAAAAGCACGTTAACGCGCGTTACGCGTTTAGAGTTACCATTTCAGTCAAAATAGACAAAAATGGTGTCTTTTCCGGTACCGCCAACGTGATAAGGGTGGTTATTTTTTAAATGAGATTATCGTGTTTTTTATTGCTTTAAGAAATTCAATGATCGCAAAAACGAGAAAAACGTCCGGCCCCCTATGTTAACGACCCTCGATCACGGGCGATCGCGGCATATGACCAACCCGTGCTTACACTAAAGGGCTAGAGAGCTCAAATATCGCGCGATCAGGTGCGAGTTTAAGGTGCGTGATCTTTCAGCTTTCTAACAGTGAAAAGGTTACGAAATTTTGACTTTTTAAAACGTGTTTAGGGTCATTTTGAAAACCCCTTTCACAGACATAGGTTCCAGGTATTTCCACAAGTTGGACCCCCGTGTGCCTGTCTCAATGTGAAAAATATGTGCTGATATTCTAAACTTACAAAGCACATTTAACAAATGTGCTCTATCAAAATTAAGTAAATAACTCTCGCAGCCCAAAATGGTTATGTTACAAGTTTTGGGCTGTCATTTACTGCAGCTGATTACTGTTGCGAGTCTATATCTCTGCAACGTTGCTTAAATATATTTAAAAATGTCAATTCATTTCCCAAGCCAAGCTTCCCACGTACCATATGAAAATAATAATGTTTTAACTGACTAAGCCCAATATTGTTGATTACTATATTGAATAATATAAAGGGATTGTAAATGCATTTAACCCTGGGCTACGGAAAAGTGAACTAGACAACTGAAAGATATTAAGGATATATGATCATTCGGTCGAACGTAAAAACAGTTGTAGGAGTTGTTGTAAATGTGGACTATGGAATCAATAAAAAATAGTAAGCGTTGCTATGTGCTCAGCAGTAAAAAATAATTAAACCATGACAGGGTTCTGTAAGTGGTTGTAAATACGGGCTAATAAAGCGTTGTACGTGTCGGGTCAGCACTAAAGTAACTTATTAGTATGAAGAGTAACTATTTTAACATTTTCACCACCAGTTCCCTCTTTTCATCATAAATTTATAAAATAGTCTCGTTTATAGATTGCACTTTCCTTCAGAAGATTGGGGACAACTTTCTTAGGTAGAATTTACTTACTTTTTGTCTGTTGGCTCCAAAATTAGAGTTCATTTTCAGAAATATTAAAGAATACAAGAGAAAAGTGCTGAAAAAATTTGGCGCGAAAGTCTGGTGGTGAAAAGGTTAAACACAAAATCAATACGTGAGCCATTGATCATACTATAATATATACTTTATAAGTTACTCTACATCTTATTAGGATATATACACGTTATAATAGATTATATACTTTATAAGTTACTCTACATCTTATTAGGGTATATACACGTTATAATAGATTATATACTTTATAAGTTACTCTATATCTTATTAGGATATATACACGTTATAATAGATTATATACTTTATAAGTTACTCTACATCTTATTAGAATATATACACGTTATAATAGATTATATACTTTATAAGTTACTCTACATCTTATTAGGGTATATACACGTTATAATAGATTATATACTTTATAAGTTACTCTACATCTTATTAGGGTATATACACGTTATAATAGATTATATACTTTATAAGTTACTCTACATCTTATTAGGGTATATACACGTTATAATAGATTATATACTTTATAAGTTACTCTACATCTTATTAGGATATATACACGTTATAATAGATTATATACTTATAATAACAAAGTGTACAAATCAGAAAATAGTATATGCGTTAAAGATAGTATACACATTATGAAGGATTATATAGATTGTAAGAATGTATGTGTCATACGTTATTATTATTTCCTTATTGCAGGCTCAACATGGCCAACATAACACAAATTAATTGTACACTCCAAAGAAGTTTTATTCATATAAAATATTTCTATAATTAGGGTCGGTCGGATAAAAATTCTCTGATGACAGGTCTTTACCAGAAGCTTTTCACTTCTGTTTACCGATTGCTATAGCAACTTCTGTCGCTGTAACTGTAGTGTTCTTGTGAATCGTTACGTCATTTAGAACATCAATAACGTTACATCTAGCAACGTTATAAAATAGTATACACGTTAAAAGATAATATACACCTTATTAGGTTATGAGAATAGACGTTATGAATAAGTACATATAATATTTATTCTATAGTAGAGCATATACGTTATAAAAAAAGTATATAATTTATGAGACGAAATAGCACAGGCATTTTAAATGGGTGTTGAGAAGACTGCAGTTTACCGATGACGGACTTTTTCCCCACGTCCAAAGCGTTCATTTGAATGAAATCGAAGAACGCAAATGGGGCGAACAATTATTGGTACTTCCGTAACTTGCACATTTAAATAGGAGTGACTTTTTCAATGTGTGATAAAACAGCGACTCGTGAAATTTGTTTATTGTCGAATCAACTTTACTTTACAACATTACAATGAACATTTGCGACCTTTCAACTAACATTTACGACTCTCCAGTCAGATTTTACGACTTTCTAGCCCACTTCAATTGTACGACCCTACAACCAACTTTCCAACCAGCTTTTATCGCATTTACACCAAAGTTCATAACTTTCCATCCAAAATTTATTTCTTTCGAGGCAAATTTTCTACTTTTCACCAACATTTTCGACATTTCGTTCACTTTTTCACACTTTCTTGCTCACATATATGACTCTCAAGCCAACCCTTTCTACTTTCCACCCAACTGTTAGGATCTTCCAGCCAACATTTAGACTCAACTTTTTGATTGCAAATTTACATATCTAACTCATAACGACCGTTGGTACAACACATTAATTATATCTACATAAAAGTGTTGCCTTAACCAGTGCTTCATTAAGAAAGAAGATGTAGTGTTCATTCCACCTATTTTTTAACGCTGTAGAATTATAGTTCTATGTTAAGGTGCATCATTTTGCGCAGGTGTATTCCAATTTTATTGTCACGTGATAAGATATTTTGTCAGTCAACCACTAAACTATACATGCTGAATTACGAACCTTGCACATTGTACAAAAACATGTAGTTTAGGACACATAAATTTAGAAAACCTTGCACACAACTTTACAGACATTTCACGTAAAGATACAGAATATACACACCATTTGACAGACTTTTTATGTTACTTTACCAAATAGACATACAACTTTACTGATTTTTCACTTTATTTTACCAAATTTACAAAGACCTTTTTATATAGTCCACGTTTCCTTATTAACTCTGCCTACAATTCTCCTGATTTTGAATACTTTACCTGCTTTACACGCAATTCACGGCTTTCCTTGTAAACTTAACAATATTGCACACTTTACAGACTTTTCACGTTACTCTACCCACTTTGCACACAATTTTACAAACATTTCACGTTACTCTACCCACTTTGTACATAATTTTACAAACTTTTCACGTTACTCTACCCACTTTGCACACAATTTTACAAACTTTTCA